CTCTTAAGACTACAGCTTTATTTCCCAGTGTATCCCACCAGTCCAGTCAGTCAACAGATTCTCAACATTCAAAAAACTTAATGTACACATTTAATAATTATGTGCATCTGCTTAAGTTCTCTTTGTCTAAAAGGGCCCTTCAACATTTTCTTTCAGCCCATATGTGATTCCTTCACAGTTTACAAAGACAAAACAAAACAAAAAGATCTACCACTTCTCACTCACTCTCGAATTTTCTCTCGCCAGAATTAGTTACCCTCCTTGTTATTCTATCACAAAATATTACACAAAACTATCTGAGGACAATTTTTTTGTTGGTCTTACAATTGTGGAAATAGCTCTGTAATGAAAGACTCCTTGAGCAAAGAAAAATCCATTGTAAGTGTCTTAACAGAGTACTTGGCACAGAGAAACATGAAACGAAATTTTGTTAAATTGAATTCCAGACAAGGCTTAAAATAAAATAGTGTTGACACAAATGAACTCACATGTGAGTGTTTTAGAAAAATTATATATTTGTTTTAATTTCTGCAAGCCTAAAGAGTCATTGACTCAAAATTATTCATCCATTTTCCATAATCACTAAGCAAAAATGCTCACCTCCTACTCAAATGGCACCAATGGGTTCACTAACATGTTCACAGACATCCTGTGAATGTCTACTCTAGTAAATAAATCAGTATCACAGTACTGGTAGAACAGCCCTATATGTAAAACACAAACAAGTAAAAATGCTATGGCACCATTGATTAAATTTCTTACATTTTAGTTAGCACATTTAGCACATTTCAAAAATGCCAAAGTTCTCTTCTTTATAGAAAGATAATTTTTTCAAAAAAATTTAATCCTACGAATATATTATTCACAGAAATACCAGATATACTTTACATCATAAATGATCAAATATAATCTAATTGTCTTTTCCACATGTAAAATATTTGTAAAACCAACTGAATTAATGTCTCTGAAAGAAAAGTAATTTGAAATGGCCATTCATATTAGCATAGTTCAATAATCTATACAGTGAAAAATGTATATGATCCGTAATATATATAATTACAACTGTATAAATATAAATGCCTCTATACACGTGGTAACTTTGATGAATGATTCTCATTAATCTTAAATTATTTAACCTATATTGATGTCTAGATTCTTTTCTTTTTTTTTGGGGGGGAGTTTTTGCTACAGGGCACGTGTGCTTGCCAGACAGACAGAGAGACACAGAGAGACAGAAAGTGAGAAATCACCCCCCAGGGGAGATGTCCACGCTGCAATCCCCTCTCCTCCATTCTCTCTCAGGATCTTGGACACGCACGCACACACACCCAGCGTGAGTTTTAAGCCACCAGGTCCGGGACACGAACCGCGGTCGACTACATGGGAGTCCAGTGACATAGCCATTATGCTAACTGCTGATCCCTAGATTATTTTCATTCTTAGCATTTTTAGTAGTCATTTTTTCAAAGTTATTCATTCTTACTGATCAGTTCCTTAGCTGTTTTAACCTATAAATAATACCAAGTAAAGCACAGTCACAGTAATCTATCCTTTCCACTAAATGAAGAAATTAAAATACGAGTTTTCTTTAAAACTTACTTATGGGACCAGCAGATGGATGGCATAATGGTTACTTCACTAGACTCCCATGTAGCCAATTGTGGTTCAAGTCCTGGACTTAGAGGGTTAAAACTCACACTGGACATGTGTGTATGTGTGCCCCAAATCCCTAGAGAATGGAGAAGACAGGACTGCAGTGTGCCCATTCCCCTGGGGGCGGAGGGAGGGGTTGATTTCTCGCTGTCCTTCTGTTTCTCTCTATCTCACTGGAGAGCGCACACACCTTATAGCAAAAAATTTATTAAAAAAAACTCACTTATATGATCTATTTTATTGTTTTCCTTGATCCACTTTTGTTTTACCTAATTTGTAAAGCTTCATGCAAAATATATTATAAAAAAATGACCACTGGGGCCATTAGATGACATGGTGGTTACGTCGCTGGACTCCCTCACAGCCAATGGCTTGAAAATTATTGCAGGCACATGTATGTGCATGCCCAAGATACCAGGAGGAGAATGGAGGAGAAGAGATCATGACATTGTCATTCCTCTGGGAGGGGGAGGAGGTGATCTCTCACTTTCCCTCTCACTGTCTCTGTCTCCCTCTCTCTCTGAGAAGCACACATGCTCTAAGGCAAAAGCCACTATTTAAAAAAAAAAACCTACATGCAAAAGCAGCAGGTGGTGTAGTGGTTAAGGTGCTAGACTCCCGCGTGTTGACTATGGTTCAGGCCCTCGGCCTGGAGACTTAGAATTCATGCTAAGAGTATGTGTGTGCACGCCCAAAATCCCAAGAGGAGAGTGAACTGTAGCATGACCATCCCTTTGGGGTGTGATTTCTTGCTTTCTGTCTCACTCTCTTTAGTGAGTGCATGTACCCTATAACAAAAATCTAAATAAATAAATAAATAAATGCTCCCATTTTCAAATAATCTTAGTACTATATGGACTATTATTTTGGAGATAACCTGAAAGGTACATAGCCTATTCTCGACAGTGATATTCCAGGGTAACTGAGTATTCCTTTAACTTCCTAAAGTCTGAATTCATGTGTTATTTTTCTCTCAGTAGTCTATATATACTCATCATTATCCTAGTACAATTTTAGAAGAAATATAAAGCAACTATCTTGAAATGATCACCTGTAAGCATCAGGATTAGGATATGTTTGGTTAGAGCTTTTGTTGTACTTCTTCCTAACCCTGTGACCTTGTGAAAATTACTTAATATATCTGAGCCTCAGTTAACGTGTTTATCAGTGAGGATAAATTGTACTGGATTTACAGAACTGATATAAGTAAAGTGTTTTGAAGAAAGTCAAGCATGTGGCAAATGTTTACTAATTTTTCCTTTTCCACCTTATTCTATATTTTTTGATTTTTAGCATTTTCCCCTCTTCTTTCTCTCTTTCTTCTTGCTAGTATTTGTCCAGTACTCAAAATATACACCTTAGAATAGAAATATAATAGTAAAAAAATCTGAATCAATTGTGCAAATATCACACATAAGTGCTTCATAGTCTTGTGAAATTTTCAGTGTTTCTCCAATTGGCAGTAACACAGTAAAAACAGGCTTTAGAATCAGGAATCTACTAGTTTGAATCAGATTCTATTGTTCACTATTTGACCTATAACTGTTGGTATTTTCTGTTCCTTAGTCTCTTTAAAACTGAGATTTTCCAATTGGGAAACAGAGGTAAGACACATCTCAAAGGGCTATTATGAAAATACAGTGTGTATACTTAGTGCAATGTCTGGCAAGTAGAAAACTATAGGCAAGTATCAGTATCGAGGCAATTCTGCACTCTCTCTAAAACTTACAAATCAAATTAAAAGTAATGTGACAATTCCCCATTTCATAACAGCTACAAAATAATAATCACATTAATGATAGCAGTAAGCATAGTCTTACTCTGTAAGTCCACCTGCCTCCTGGTTACCAGCTTGCTCTGAAATGCAATCTGATAAAGCTAAACATGATCAGTAGAGCGGGGATAGAATTTCTTGCATTTCTCACGTGATTTTTGGCTAGGATTTCATAGGGCCCATGATTTGTCTCTAACATGTTTGTCATTATTTTCAGAAAATGAGGGAAGAAGGTGTCTAAGTTATTAGTAACACATAAATTATTTTGTATATTAGCAGAAAGATATATCTAAAACTTGGAAGGGCATTTTAGAAAAATTATTTATTTCTTAAGTGTAATTGTGACAAATGTGATCAACTTAATACATTCAAATATCCATGTTTATTCCTTTTAAAGAAAATAAGTAAGATAAAACATAATCCCATTTCAAAACATATATTTCTCAGAAAATATCCAATGAAAGACCTACTAGAATAAAAATAAAATTTCAGAAAAACTAAATCGCAGAATATTAAACAAACAAATTTAAAAAAGCAAATGCCACTGCACCATGTAAACTGCCTGTTAAACAAAAAGATCTAACTCCTCATAGGATTTTTTTAGTTGAACATACATGTGCTTAATGAGTAACTTTTAAAGAAAAATGTCAAATTAATCAGCAATTTGTGAACAACCCTAAAGACATTAAAACACTTTGGTCAACTTCTCCTTTCAGATCTAAATTTGAAGATATAATGGAAGATACAATAAAAAAACCAACAAAGAACGTGATGAGCAAGAATAACACGATTTCTTAAAAAAGAAAAAAGAAGAGTTAACCCAAGTGTATCTGAAAACATTTGACTGCTTCCATTCCTGAATATTTTCTTTAAATAGACAAACAAAATCTAAGTAAAAGCTTTACAAACTAGTCTTTTATTTTAGTTTACTATGAAAAAATAAATACACCGCACTGTGAAAAATACACAAAACATATCAAAACATATAAAACTCAAAGATCACCATAGCCAGAATACTGGTATATAAATAGCTATATTTTGTAAATTACACATCCTTAAAAGTCTTTAGAAACAATTATTTTCAGCTAATAAAATCCTAATCACAACATATTTTTTTGCCATGTTCAAAAACATATACTGCTTTTGTAGATCACACTTTGTATTAAAAGCCAAATTATTGGTGTTTGCACAATCCACTTGTGATATTTAAAAGTTTTTTTATTGTCCAAACATAGTGAGGTTATCAAGTTTAACATATGCACATAACAGACATGAACTTATACATAGAAATTTATTTCTAAAGCAAATACAATATGGAAGGCATTCTATTGTCACTATGTCTGTACGCAATAATGTATTATAGAACGATTACTAATCTAGAAGAGAGGAAGAATGTTTACTTACATATCATTACCCTTGATTTTCAGTTCTAATAGTACTTTAATCTTTGCTATGGAATTTAAGTCAGATGCCAAAATGCATGCTAAATAGGGCCAAAAACCCTATTAACTATATTATAAGGGCCCTAAAAATCTAACAATAATGACAATTTTTTAAAAATATTTAAACTTACCCCATTTAATGGATATGTTTTCCATCCTAGCTCTCCCAGCACAGTTGTTGTATCAAGCAACACAACTAGAATTAAATAGATAAAAAAAATTGTGTGTGAATTTCTGGTTAAAAAATGTATTGTAGTTATTTAAAGCATTAATGTCAACAATCCTTACTATTCATCACATTTGCTTTAATAAGTCAAATCACTAACTTTTAGAATTATATAGTAATATCAAATATGAATACATAATAGTAGTTAAGTAATAAAATGCATAATTTGGTTAATTAAAAATATGTACATCTGCATTTAACAATGCTAAATGAGACAGATAACTGAATTAAAAAATTAATGAAGTTTAACAGATTTTTAAAACTAATCAATAGCCCGCTTTGTTTTTTTCCCCTCACTTTCATACATAGTTTCTTTTTTAAAATATTATTTATTATAATTATCATTTTTTAATTTGCTATAGGACACATGTGCTAACCAGAGAGACACACAGAAGGAAAGGGAAAGTGAGAAAGCAAGCCACCAGTTGCAGAACTCAAACCATGATCAGCCATGTGGGAGTTCAGCAGCTTAACCACCGTGCCACCTGCTGCCCTCAGTCAAACAAGATTCTAAAATGTCCGAGAACTTTTACATTCCCTATAGCAGAACAGCAAATTGTCCAGTCTCTCCATATGCCAAAACTTGAACAAGTGTGCAACCATATTTCATTGTTGTTTTAATATGTATTTCTCTTAATTACAAAGCAGTGATGTTTTTCACTACTTAAAAGTTCACTGAAATCAAACAAAACAATGTCATTTTCCCCACATTTGGAGCTTTCCTAACTGATCATGAGGTATCATTAAATATGCATTTTTCCTTAGATTCAGGTACCATTTACTTTTATTTTTATTTTTGTACAACTCCATTAGTAGTATTTCACAGTCCTTATAAAAGAAAATAGGGTTCTATCCATGACTACTAGGGACATGTTAAAAGGATTTAGGAATCAACATGTAGGTTTCTACTGGCAAAAATCTGACCACACATAAGGTTAGTGACTATAATGGACTGAAATACTTACATATTTAAACTCATGGATTCATAATGATAAAATTTCCAGAATTCAAGAAAAGCATTTGTTTTAAAACTAGACAGTACACTGACAAGAATAAAACATTTGCTTTTTCTGTATGAACTACCTATGAATAACAAAACGATCAATAAAATAACATTTTCTAATTAAAATCTTCAAGTTAATAAATGAAGAAAGAATTGCCAAATTGGGTTATGCCATTTGCTACTCCTAATGAATTAATATATTTAGCTAATGGTTTCTCATGACTGTCAACATCACAAAAAGAAATAAAAGGAGACTTAAAAAACTAAAGCTTTTTAAAGGTCTTTATTTGTAGTTTAATTCACTCCATATTAACATGCAATTCTAAGAAGCCTGGAAGTAGCAGAAGTTATACACAGAAAACGCAGCAATGATGAGATATGCCTACATGCATATACACATGATAACATTTGAGTTCATTCAGGGTAACAATAATAATCTCTATACAGAGAAAAAGCTGAATGTAACATTACAATAAATACTCAAAGCCATAAGCTTATCTTGTTACCAAATTCAGGTTCTTTTCATGCCCAGCCACAGTGGTGTGGGTTGTAGCGGACCTCTGTGCAATACTAGAGTCATGTGAAAAGGCCCAAGGTTCAGATCCTTGGTCAACCTGAACACACAGAACTGGAGGGAAGGTTCACAGTATGGCAAGATGCTGTCCAGAATCTGAACACTGTTCTCTCTCTTTTACAAAAGAAACAAACTTTTTACAAAGTTATTCTTACTTTTGGTAGATACTACTGAAAAGAAGCACGTGATATCACGATCTACTCCTGGGCATGCAATAGTTTAATATTACTCACCTAACACATATTTCCCCAGCAGGCTGGAAAAATACACGAATTCATAGTCACTGAGGAGGACGTTCTATATCTACTCTTCTTCAGATAACTTCAGAATGGTCTTACAAGGGTTGTTCCCTCCTTTTAACAGACCTTTCTTTAATTGCCCCTCTTTAAAGATCTGGTAAACTACACAAAAAATAATTTTTCTCTGTTTTGACAAGGACATAAATTCCCTTTTATGTTATTGATGTCTGTAGCGTGCAATCAGTGTCTTAAATTACTGATGATCTTATTCTTTTTAAAAAGTTTTATTGAAATACAAGTTGAATATAAGAAACTATACATATTTGACACATAATTTAGTAAGTATGGACATATACATATGTACGTGAAACTATCACCACAATCAAAATAACAAATATATTCATTTCCTCCAAAAATAAGCATGGCTAGTTTACTTCACTTACCCTCATGTCCTCTAGGTTCATTCATGTGGCAGGATTCCCTTCCTTTTTAAGACTCACATTCCATTATATGTATGTACCATAATTTCTCTATCCATTTAATTTGCTTCCATATCTCAGCTATTCTCAATAATGTTGCAAAGAACGTGGAAGTTTAGACACAACTGTGAGATTGTTTTCATGTTTTTAAATAAATACCTAGAAGGGGGATTGCTGGATTATATGGCAGTTCGATTTTTATTCCTTGAGGACCTTCGTACTATTTTCCATAATGTCTGTGACACTTTATTTTTCCATCAACAATGTATATGGGTTTCCTTTTCCCACATCTTCATCAATAGTGTTTTTTTTTTCTTTTTTTTTTTTTTTTTTAGAGAGGTTTTCACTATAGGGCTCGTGCACTCGCCAGACAGACAGAAAGAGACAGAGAGACAGAAAGCTAGAAATCACCCCCCAGGGGGGATGGCCACACCGTAATCCCTTCTCCTCCATTCTCCTCTCGGGATCTTGGGCACGCACGCACACGTGCCCGGCGTGAGTTTAAGCCGCCAGGTCCAGGACGTGAACCGTGGTAGACCACATGGGAGTCCAGCGACATAGCCATTACGCTAACTGCTGATCCCAACACTGTTTTGATAATGTCATCTGAAAAGGTATGAGTTAACAGTTAATTGTACTTTTGATTTCCTTCCTTCCTTATTAGTAATATTCCTGTTGGCCACTTAATATGTTTTTGCTTTTTTTTTTTTTTAAAGAAATGTCTATTCAATCCTTTGCCCATTTTTCAATAGGGTAATAGAGGTGTTTGGTTTTTGCTCTTGAGTTGTAGGAATTCTTTATATATTTTGGGTATTGACCTCATGTTTCAATTTTTTTAAAAATATACTCAATATACTCAGTTTACAAGCCTCCCTGAGGCTAAGAGAAGTTAAGTAATTTGTCATCACAAAGTTGTACACAGTTTTGGATTCTAACCAAGAATCACATGCCCTGCTCTAAACCTTTAAAAATGTACTATTTCCTACCTTTTAAAGTTCAAATACATTATTTGTTTTCTCTTTTATATTTTAGTAGTTGTAAAAAAATGAGTATTTCTTTGGCTTGATTTACCTCCTATCCTATGACATTATTAGTTCTGATTTCAGTTTCCTCATTAAAATTTTCTACAATAAAAATGAAAAGGTGCTACCCACAAATCACAATATTCATTTCAAGGAGTTTACTGATGTAGAGTGTTCAAAAATACATAATACAGATCAAAGTCTTTCAATAGAGATTTGGTTTTCATAAATTTATGGTCAAGTAAATCAATCAATTATTCGATAAAATTATTGTTTTTTCTAAAACCTATTTTGGCTGTTTTGTTCTCAATATTCATCAAGTAAACAGTAAAGTATATTAATTTCAAAACAAATAAAAAGGAAAATGTATATGTATCTACAATAGTGTAGGTGCTAGAAAGAATTGTATGGCTTTATTAGCTTTCAGAAACAAGATTTATCTATTTTCTTTATTTTCATTAAACTGCAATCACACTAATTAAAAATGCCTAACAATAATAAAATTTCAAATCTGCATATCAGGTGAGTGATTAGGACTTGGATACTAAAGCCAAACAAGAGTTTTCAGATTTTTAATACCATTGTACATGGTAAAAGTTTTAATTTTATAATTTATTTCACATACGAAATCCCCACAAATTCAGGTTTTTCAGGCACACTAATTACATTGAACCCAGCAAGGTGAGAGCTCCTCCTGCTGGCTTTAAACAAAAGTTATGTAGTCCTGATTAGAGGGAATAAATACTGCAAACCCAAGAGGAAGAAAAAAATCACAGTGTATCAACCTTGGATAAAAAGTCAGTGCTTTTTAAAAGTGTTTAAATTTAATGTCAAGGTTTTAAATACCAATATTAACATTTATTATATGCAACGAGTACAAATGAAAATACAATTCATTTATATCATGGTAAATGAAAAATTGGATTATCCAGAAATACATAGTAATCTAGTGGTATCCAAATAAAATGTGTATTTTGTTTAATAAATACAAAAAATATTTATAAAACTACATACGATTTTTCTATTAAATTTCAGAAAAATATTTCCAGCATACTGTATTTCTCTTGTGAGCTACTGTTGTTTAGAATGTGAGTTATTCTGTAGAGCAAAAACTGTAACGGAAAGCCTTATGAAAATGATATAGTTAATAGTTGATTAAAAATATAACTAGTAATAGTCACTTTCACTTTTACACCTTTCTATTTCACTAAGAACCTCCAGATCTTTTTCCTCTCCTAAGCAGCTTTATTTGCTTCTGTCTTATAATGATCGCTAAAACCTGCCATTAACAGCATTTCCCACAGAGACCCAAGGAGTATCTAGGTGTAGATCTGATGTATCACAAGGTCACTAAACTACAGATTCCCTCCTGGGTCATTAAGACTCACTTCAGAGTCACCTGAGAAGATTTCATTTCCCATCAAATTGTTATCTCGGAAGTCCAAAAATAATGAAAGAAAATCTGACATGTCCCTTATTAATAGCAATAAATAATTCTTCTAGTTTGACTCCTTCAACACTTTGTCTATAAATAAATTAGGAAGCTTTGTCTGAGACATGCATTATCAGCATTTGTTTCAATTACACAGTTTAAACAGGCAGAAAGACTAGTCTTACAATATAAATTTCTCATCTTTCCCACAGAAATGGCCT